GGTTCGTGGGTTCGAGCCCTATGTTGGGCAAAAGATCCTTGCATTGATGCGGGTTGGACTAGATGGCCCTAGGGGTCCCTCCCAGCTCAACATTAGCTGAATCTTGAATCAGCTCCCACCCACCCCAAACGATAGGATTTCATGCCATTGTGTGCGTTGCACTTCCCTGAGGGGCAAAGGAGTTAAACAGCAGCCAAGAATAATTCTTAAACTTTTCGCCAGTGTTTCTGCCGCGTTTTCATCTAATTTGTTCTCCCTTCCCAAGTGAAGCCGGTGTGCTGATAAACCCATCACCCGTCTTCCTTAGGAAATTCCCAAACATCTTGGCAGTTTCATCATTATCTCTGCACACCAATATAAAGGTAAAGGGACCCCTGGCCATTAGGTCCAGTCGCGGACAACTCTGGGGTTGTGGCGCTCATCTTACTTTACTGGCCGAGGGAGCCAGCGTACAGCTTCCGGGTCATGTGGCCAGCAGGACTAAGCCGCTTCTGGCGAACCAGAGCAGCGCACGGAAACGCCGTTTACCTTCCCGCCGGAGTGGTACCTAGTTATCTACTTGCACTTTGACGTGCTTTCGAACTGCTAGGTTGGCAGGAGCTGGGACCGAGCCATGGGAGCTCACCCCGTCGCAGGATTTGAACCGCCAACCTTCTGATCGGCAAGTCCTAGGCTCCGCGGTTTAACCCACAGCGCCTCCCGCGTCCCTTCCGCACACCAATATACCTGCTGATAAAACTTTTTGGGGGAACGGGACGTTCTTGACGCACGTCCGAAAACGCCGAGTGGCATTGCGATTTCACATGCACAGAAAATCCAGAGAGGGGCTTTGCTTAGCCAAGTTTCAACTCAGCGGGAAAGATCGGGTTTTGGCAAGGCACGCAGCAAATGGCAAGAAAACCTCTCAGACCCGGGGGAATTAATTGGCACACAAAAGAGTAAAAATATAGAGATGTCAAAGTGTGAATAGTGGGTAGGAGGGGCGTATGATCCCAAAACAGAGAGACACCCCCCAGCTATCAGGCGGCAGACTCCCGAATATTCACTCCCATTGATGTAGGTTCAAAACAAACCGTCCAGCGACCCATCTACTGACTCATTCAGCAATGTAAATATACGACCCCATTTATGCATGTTTGGGGGTTTATCGATTTGAGTGTGGGGCAGCTGGGGGTTTCAGAGGGGCTGGGGAGGGGGGTAACCAGTTGTGTGTATGTGTGTGTTTTTAATCGTTCCTTTAATAAAAGTGGGAAAAGCTGTGGAGATTCAGGTGTGTTTTGTAGCCATTTGAGATAAAATTGCAGAGCTGAAAGGGTCCCCTGGGGGTCATCCAGACCAACCCCTCACCCTGCGATGACAGAGGATTGCCGATAGATGTCGGCTTTCTCTGGATTAAAATTAGTACGTGGAAGCGCTGGTTGTTCAAAAGATTCACTGTCTCCAAATAGCTTTCTCCTCTGTGAATTTGTCCAGTCCTCTTTTAAAGCCTTCTAGCCTGATTCCTGTGGCAGGACGTTCCACAGTTTAACTTTGTGCCGCAGGAAGGACTTTACCTGCGCTAAAGGTAAAGGTACCCCTGCCGGTACGGGCCAGTCTTGTCAGACTCTAGGGTTGTGCGCTCATCTCACTCTAGAGGCCGGGAGCCGGCGCCATCCGCAGACACGTCCGGGTCACGTGGCCAGCGTGACATCGCTGCTCTGGCGAGGCAGCACCAGCGCAGCACACGGAACGCCGTTTACCTTCCCGCTATAAAGTGGTACCTATTTATCTACTAAGGGACGCGGGTGGCGCTGTGGGTAAAAGCCTCAGCGCCTAAGGCTTGCCGATTGAAAGGTCGGCGGTTCGAATCCCCGCGGCAGGGTGCGCTCCCGTTGTTCGGTCCCAGCGCCTGCCAACCTAGCAGTTCGAAAGCACCCCCGGGAGCAAGTAGATAAATAGGGACCGCTTACTAGCGGGAAGGTAAACGGCGTTTCCGTGTGCGGCTCTGGCTCGCCAGAGCAGCGATGTCACGCTGGCCATGTGACCCGGAAGTGTCTGCGGACAGCACTGGCCCCCGGCCTCTTGAGTGAGATGGGCGCACAACCCTAGAGTCTGTCAAGACTGGCCCGTACGGGCAGGGGTACCTTTACCTTTACCTTTTATTTATCTACTTGCACTTAAGGGTGCTTTTGAACTGCTAGGTGGGCAGGAGCTGGGACCGAATGATGGGAGCGCACCCCACCGCGGGGATTCGAACCACCGACCATACGATCGGCAAGTCCTAGGCACTGTGTTTTTACCCACAGCGCCACCCGCGTCCCTTACCTGTGCTGCATCGCCTTAAAACAATGGCACCACTTCTCCCCACCCCTTTCCCCTCCAATAAACACAAACCAACCACTGCCTTCTTTTTTTTTTCCTAAGAAAAACAATATTTATTGTTTCATTGGCTGTGCATCAAATCAGAAAAGGAGGTGTCTGCAACAGAATCAAACCCGCCAGCCGTTCCTTCCCCTCTTTTCGACATTTTGGTTGGCACAAGTCACCCTCTCCATCCATCCGGACACCCAAATCCGGCTTCCACGAACGGGGGGTGGGGGAATTAATGTGTAGGATTTGTATCCAAGAGACCTTGAACTCGGGACCACTAGCCACAGATGCCGGACATGGCCCCACTGAATCGAAACTTTGGGGGGACATTTCTCTCTCTATGGCTTTTAATTAAGAGCGGTACCCAAACTCCCACGGAAATCAGAGAGACCTCAAAGTGCATAGTTTTTAGTTTTAAATTGGGTCCACTTACTGCCCGTGAGTTTCAGACAGAGAATAAACCTGGGATTTAATGGAACTGGGGGAGGGGGGGACCTGGAAACTTTCTGCTACACAGAGCCCATGCTCTGGCCTTTTTCTCAAAAGAGACCATTAAGTTTATAGACCTCATGGTTCTGGGCTAAGGGCTGGTTCACAACTGAACACAGGCAGGCAGCGGTTCTCTGCCCACCCTCTTCGGAGTTCAGACCAGGCAATTTCTGCATGGAGCCCCTGGCAAAACTTCCTCTTAAGAACTTTGCTTTCAAACAGGGCTTGAAGAATAAGAGGAGCTATATAGCAGCAGCTCTAAGCCATGGTAGTTCAATGGAGCCTCCAGTTTGTAGCGCAGTCTACCTCTGATGCTCAGGGGCATGGGATTGGCCAGTGTGGGTCAGGTGGCAGATTCAATACACCCAGCCTGGACAGGCCTAGCTCTGCTCAGCTGCAATTCTGGGGTTGGACTAGATTGCCCTTTGGTTCCCTGCCAACCGTACAATTCTATGAAAAAAGCAAATTTCTTTACACCTCACCTGTGTCCTTCCCATCCCGGGACGTTCTTCAGGAACCTCACATCATACAACTGGGATTTTTTTTTAAAAAAACCACATCTGATTTTCACCATTTTTTTAAAAAAAAACAAAAACATAATTTTATTCCAAGCGCAGAATCTGAATTTCCTTGATGCAGAATTTGGGGATAGATTGCATAGATTACAACCGGTACTTTGGATCTGGGAGACCTGAGTTAGAGGCACATCACTCCCATGGACTTGTAGAATGCAGGGGGGGAATAGTCCTCTGGCCTCAGTTTTCCCCATCCGGAAAATGGGTTTGAGGGCAATTCATACGGGCGACACTGAGAGGACACACAAGCCAAGCGGAGATCCTTAGAGCAGGTCTGCAGGCTGGAGGGAAAAGAATGATCCATGAGAAAAATAGCAGCGGGGGGGGGGTTGTTTTCGTTTTTTAGTGTCTCCGTCGAAACTGATCCGACCGGCAAAGGAAGCCGGAATCCCGTTGCGAAAAGAGTAAGATCGCTGTTTTTTCAAAGTCGTCAGTATATTTCAAATTGCATGCAGCTCAAAACTATTTTTGCATAGCATCTTCAACAAACATGGAGGGAGCGCCCCCCAGCCGAGGCGGATTTCCCCCACTGCGGACGGAGGAAGTGGGGCAGGCAGCTTCCATCACAAGTAAGGGGGCAGCGGTGCTGAGCATGTCAAAATGTGGCTCGTGTTTGTGGTGGACGGAAACCTGCCAGCGACCAATTCCACCTCTGTGGGGTTGTTGTCCAAGTGTTGTCCAAGCAGCTTGTTTATCCAGCCTGGTGTTTTACGCTCTGACCGGAAGCCCCTGAGAAGAGGCGGCTCACAGCACACCCCCCGTTTGAGACCCCTGGGTCTTTCTGAGTTTTGGTCCTTGCCCCTAATGTAAAATTCTAGTCCTCATGGAGTCTAAATCAAAAGCCGATCTGTAAAAGCAAAAGCAATTGGAGGTGTCTTTCTCTGAGCCACACCCAACTCTATGTTCCCTTACACTGGCTGACAGCTTCTCCACAGGGTTTGGGGGGAAGGGGTCGTTTGCAGCCTGACCTGGAGGAGCTAGACACTGTGTGAGTGCCTGGAGGCGGTTGGAGGATGGATGGCGGCTAACAGATTGAGGTTGGATCCTGACAAGGTTTTTGGGGGACAGGGGGCGGGCAGGTGTGGAGGACTCCCTGGTCCTGAATGGGGCAACTGTGCCCTTGAAGGACCAGGTGCGCAGCCTGGGAGTCATTTTGGACTCACAGCTGTCCATGGAGGCACAGGTCAAATCTGTGTCCAGGGCAGCTGTTTACCAGCTCCATCTGGTACGCAGGCTGAGACCCTATCTGCCTGCGGACTGCCTCACCAGAGTGGTGCATGCTCTGGTTATCTCCCGCTTGGACTACTGCAATGCACTCTACGTGGGGCTACCTTTGAAGGTGACTCGGAAACTACAACTAATCCAGAACGCGGCAGCTAGACTGGTGACTGGGGGCGGCCGCCGAGACCACATAACACTGGTCCTGAAAGACCTACTTTGGCTCCCAGGACGTTTCCGAGCACAATTCAAAGTGTTGGTGCTGACCTTTAAAGCCCTAAACAGCCTTGGTCCAGTAGACCTGAAGGAGCGTCTCCACCCCCATCGTTCAGCCCGGACACTGAGGTCCAGCGCCGAGGGCCTTCGGGCAGTTCCCTCACTGAGAGAAGTGAGGTTACAGGGAACCAGGCAAAGGGCCTTCTTGGTGGTGGCACCCGCTCTGTGGATGTCAGATGTCAACAACAGCTACGTGACTTTTAGAAGACATCAGAAGGCAGCCCTTGTTAGGGAAGTTTTTAATGTTTGATGTTTTATTCTGTTTTTAATATCCTGTTGGAAGCCGCCCAGAGCGGCTGGGGAGGCCCGGCCAGATGGGCGGGGTATAAGTAATAAATTATTATTATTCAGGGTGCAGAGGGGGTGCCCCATCACTGAGCTGTGCCCCCACCCTGGAAGGCTGGCAGTACCCGGACAGTAATGCAAGATTCTTGTCCTAGTGTGGCAGTGAATCAAGACTCTGGTCCACATGAGTCTGAACTGCAGGCAGATCCAAATAGGAGTACAGGAAATTATACGGAGTCCACGTAACCTGGGGGAGCAACTGCCTGGGTCTTCTGAACCCCCCAAAAGGTCCTTTAAGCTGAACATGCCTGAGGCTGGACCCACGGCCTTCTGCCACGTGCCCAGGGGCGCTCTCTGCTTGCAGGAAAGGAAATTCTCCTATTTGCCTTGGTTCCACGCAGCGTTGCACCCAGACATCTGGGAAGTTTGCACGTTAGGTGCACCCCAAACTAACGCGCCCCCACACACCTCGCCCCATTGCAACGAAAAGTTTTCTCTCTCAAAATACCTCCCCGCTTCGAAGTAAGCGAAAATCTGGCTTACTTCCAGGCAAAATGGCTTGCAAATTCGCACTGGGGACCCAATCCACCTCGGTCATGGTTCACGGCTGCTTTGGGGCTCCCCGTCACCCCAGACCCCTTGGCCACACTGACTGGGGGGGGTGGGGTGTTCCATAACATCTGGGGAATGGCATCAGGCGGCAGAAGGCGGATCGAGAGAAATGGGGGTGAGAGGGGAGGTTGGGAGAGGGGTCAGGCTTCCCCCTCTCTTGAGGCCCAAGAATCAAGGAAGTTGGGGGGGGGTGAACCCCCCCAGCAAACCCTCCAGAGGAACCGTCCGTCTGCTTTAAGCCGGAGTGGATAAACGAAACGAAACCAGGAAAACGAAACCAAGGACGCTACACTTCCCGCGCCCGGAACGGAAAAGGAGACCTTCCCAACGGACGCCCGCCCTGCCCCTCTCTTGGCACTGGGGTGGGGTAGAGGCAGTCACAGCAGGGAGGGTGGCCCCCCACCCCACCCCCCGAAACGGAAAAATAATTGCACAGAGTTCGCCGCCTCGATCCGGGGGAATCGGGTGGTGCCGGGGGACATCCAGGCTGTCGGTGCGGCGGCCGCGGAAACGGACAGGGCAGATGTGGGGCGGGAAGGCAGGTCCCGGCAACTCCGCGCGCTCGTCATCTCCTCACTGCCCCGTCCCGTAGGGCCAGTTGAAGGTGCTTCCCGAGAGGAGCATGTCCCTGATGAGGGTCTCAATGGGGGTCTTGCCCACCAGTCTCATGAAGAAGAGCTGCGAGATGAGGGAGGCGGGGACGGCCCGCAGCGCAGGGAGGCGCAGCAAGAGTCTGCCGAAGCGCTGGGGTTGCGAGGGGTACTGCGAGCGGACGTACTCCGTCAGTGCCACCTGCGCCTTCTCCTGCAGGCTCTCCACATGTGCGGGGTCCGAGAGGCCGCAGGCGTCTGAAACAGAGGAGACGGTTATAATATTAATAATAATTTATTATTTGTACCCCGCCCATCTGGCTGGGTTTCCCCAGCCACTCTGGGCGGCTTCCACAGGGACCAAAAATACAGTAAAATGTCACACATTAAAAACTTCCCTGAGCAGGGCTGCCTTAAGATGTCTTCTGAATGTCAGGTAGTTGTTTATCTCTTTGATATCTGGAGGGAGGGCATTCCACAGGGTGGGTGCCACCACCGAGAAGGCCCTCTGCCTGGTTCCCTGTAGCTTTGCTTCTCGCAATGAGGGAACCACCAGAAGGCCCTCGGAGCTGGACTTCAGCATCTGGGCAGAACGATGGGGGTGGAGACACTCCTTCAGGTCTACTGGGCCGAGGCCGTTTAGGGCTTTAAAGGTCAGCACCAACACTTTGAATTGTGCTCGGAAACGTACTGGGAGCCAATGTAGGTCTTTCAAGACCGGTGTTATATGGTCTCAGCGGCCGCTCCCGGTCACCAATCTAGCTGCTGCATTCTGGATTAGTTGTAGTTACCGGGTCACCTTCAAAGGTAGCCCCACATAGAGCGCGTTGCAGTAGTCCAAGCAAGATATAACTAGAGCATGCATCACTCTGGCCACACAGTCTGCGGGCAGGTAGGGTCTCATCCTGCGTACCAGATGGAGTTGGTAGACAGCTGCCGTGGACACAGAATTGACCTGCGCCTCCATGTACAGCTGTGAGTCCAAAATGACTTCCAGGCTGCGCACCTGGTCCTTCAGGGGCACAGTTACCCCATTCAGGACCAGGGAGTCCTCCACACCTGCCCGCCCCCTGTCCCCCAAAAACAGTACTTCTGTCTTGTCAGGATTCAACCTCAATCCATTAGCCGCCATCCATCCTCTTTAGCGTTCGCGAGAGCCCCATCCTGTCCCCAAATAACCCTGAGAACCGAGGAACGCAGATAGACTGCCCCTAGACCTGGAGGCTCCACAAGGACAGGCCTGGCTGCTGGATCAAGCCAAAGTGTGACCAACAGGAAGAAATATGATTTAGAATAAGATAGACAAAACTGGAGTGAAGAGTTAGGGGCACAGATAACAAATGATTTATGGGAGTCAAGTATAAAATCAACAGAAATAGCCTCTGTGGATCTAAGACTAAGACTTATTCAGCAGAAAATAATATTCAGAGTCCACTGATCTCCAGCAAAAACTATACCAGTGGAAAATAACAAGTGCAGACGACTGCTGGAGATGTGGGAGTAAAAATACGAACTCAGTACATGAGGTGATGAATTGCCCAATGATAAGGTCATTTTGGTGCGAGGTGAGGACATTTACAGCAAGAGTAATAAAAAGAAATTGTTATATAGGCGAATTGAATTTAATTCTAAATTATATTCCAGAAATGTGGGAGATTACAAGGGGTCAAAAAATTTGGATGTACCGTGCCATATTAGAAGCAAAAAAACTTGTTTTGATGAATTGGAAGAGCCGCAAAAAGATTCCATTGAGCACATGGATTGATAATATGAACAGACTAGCTACATACGAACAAACTGCATGTCAACGCAAATTAAGAATGGATAAATATGAAGAAATCTGGAAGGAATATTTAAGCGATAAGGCGGATAGTGGGGGGAAGTGGGGGGAGGAGAGAGAGGTGGGAAAATATTGTTTAAAAAGTGTAGTTAGGTATATCAGTATTCAAATCTGAATTGTTAAATTGTGTTATTAGTGCTAGTATGGTTTTTGTTGTATGTGTTTTTTGTGGTTGTTCTTTGTATTGAAAAAATGATTAAATATTATTATTTTTAAGTCAAAGTGTGAGGGGGGGGGATAGAGACACGTCTCTACTCCTGATAAGCTCCGACAGTAGAGACTCTCTCATGGTGGCGGGTTCAAGCCCTACGTTGCCGGGGGTTGAGCTAGATGACCCTTGGGTCCCTTCCAACACAATTCTATGATCCTGTCCTCACAGTGGCTAAATACCCCTGAGAAACTAGGAACCAAGATAAACTGCCTCTGGACGTGGAGGTTTCACAAAGATACCAGAAGAGGCTGGCTGCTGGATCAAGCCGAAGAGAGCGGCCCATCTAATCTGGAATCCTTTTTGCACAGTGTACAATTACCCATAGCATCTTAAAAAGCAGAGACATCACCTTGCCAACAAACGTCCATATAGTTCAAGCTATGGTTTTCCCAGTAGTGAGAGCTGGACCATAAAGAAGGCTGATTCCTGAAGAATTGATGCTTTTGAATTCTGGTGCTGGAGGAGACTCTTGAGAGTCCCATGGACTGCAAGAAGATCAAGCCTATCCGTTCTTAAGGAAATCAGCCCTGAGTGCTCACTGGAAGGACAGATCCTGAAGCTGAGGCTCCAAGAGTATGGCCACCTCATGAGAAGGGAAGACTCCCTGGAAAAGACCCTGATGTTGGGGAAGATGGAGGGCACAAGGAGAAGGGGACGACAGAGGACGAGATGGCTGGACAGTGTTCTCGAAGCTATCAGCATGAGTTTGACCAAACTGCAGGAGGCAGTGGAAGACAGGAGTGCCTGGCGTGCTCTGGTCCAGGGGGTCACGAAGAGGCGGACACGACTAAACAACTGTCAAAAATGTCAAAAAGTTAAAGGGTTTTGGGAGAGTGTATATAATGAAATGAAGAAAATCTTAAGATATACCTTTATTAAAAAACCCGAGGCTTTTTTGTTGGGATTGGTAGGAAAGGAGATAAAGAAGAAAGATCATAAGTTGTTCCAGTATGCAACAACAGCAGCAAGAGTTTTACTAGCTCAAAACTGGAAATCAGAGGGCTTACCGACTATTGAGGAATGGGGAGCAAAACTGTTAGATTATGCGGAGATGGATAAGATGACAGGGAAAATTAGATACTCAAAAGACCAGAGGTTCATTAAGGATTGGGAAAGCTTTACGAAATATCTGGAAAATCTAAGTGACGGACAGATAACACTAGTGGGCTTTAAAGGAGCTCTGTAAAAAGAAAAGGTTATTGTCTAAAGAGAATTGGAAGAACTGTGATGAATAATGGCAATATAAAACAGGAAATGTGAACCTTCATAAAGATTATAACGGATGATTTGTGGAAAGGTTGAAGGAAGTCATACCAAAAGTCTGTGAAAATGAGAATTGAATCTTTTTCTGTATTTTGTATTTTGTACTATGCAAATTAATAAAAATTATGCATGAGAAAAAAAAAAAGAGTTTGACCAAACTGCGGGAGGCAGTGGAAGACAGAAGTGCCTGGCGTGCTCTGGTCCAGGGGGTCACAAAGAGTCGGACATGACTAAACAACTCAACAACAACACAATTACCCATTAGGAACCCAGATAGACTGCCACTGGGCATGCAGGCTCGCATTCTGCCTCGCCACAAGGTGGCACTGCCTCCATGTGCGCCACTCGCAGACGAGAAATGGCAAAGAGCGAGCATGAACCACAAGCTCTGTGGCCGGCAGAGGGTCCCGTTGCTCCTCAGTGTCCTTGCATATTCCGCAACGGTCATCTAAGCACCGGGATTTTGCCAAAGCCAGGGAGCCGGCGAAGCAAAAAGCTTTGCAGAAGCTGAGCTGCAGGGAGCAAACTCACCATGACCCCAGTCACTCTGGGTGCCTTCCAATCAAGAACACCTCAAAACACCGGTTGCTGAGATTGTTATTCTCAGGGTTGTGGGTTCGAGACCCACGTTGGGCGTAAGATTCCTGCACTGCGGGCGGATTGGGCTAGATGACCGTCGGGGTCCCTTCCAACTCTTATGATTCTATGGTCACACATTAAAAGCTTCTAGATGCAGGGCTGCCTTCGGAGGTCTACAGAAAGTTGTATAATTTATATCCAATAATAATAATAATAATAATAATAATAATAATAATAATTTATTACTAATAGTTCATTAGCGGTCTCATTATTTTATTTTATCCTTCAGTGGCACCTTCCCTGTGGAATGCTCTCCCATCAAGGAGATCAAAGAGTGACACAACTTTTACAAGACATCTGAAGGCAGCCCTGTTTAGGGAAGCTTTTAATGTTTAATAAAAGGTAAAGGTAAAGGGACCCCTGACCATTAGGTCCAGTCGTGGCCGACTCTGGGGTTGCAGCGCTCATCTCACTTTACTGGCCAAGGGAGCCGGCGTACAGCCCGTCATGTGGCCAGCATGACTAAGCCGCTTCTGGCAAACCAGAGCAGCGCACGGAAACGCTGTTTACCTTCCCGCCAGAGCGGTACCTATTTATCTACTTGCACTTTGTGCTTTTGAACTGCTAGGTGGGCAGGAGTAGGGACCGAGCAACGGGAGCTCACCCCGTCACGGGGATTTGAACCGCCATCCTTCTGATCGGCAAGCCCTAGAGGCTCTGTGGTTTAACCCACAGCGCCACCCGCGTCCCATTTTTAATGTTTAATAGGTTATTGTATTTTCTGTTGGAATCCGCCCAGAGTGGCTGGGGAAACCCAGCCAGATGGGCAGGGTATAAACAATAAATTTTGTTGTTGTTGTTTTTCCAGATGTGCTGGGAGCTGCCCAGAGTGGCTGGGGCAACCCAGCCAGATGGGCGGGGTATAAATAATAAATTATAAATATAATTATAATTAGACCACCTCCTCTGGTCCTTTTTGGAAATAAGGAGTCTTTGGAAATATTTTGTGGAATACAGCGGTACCTTGGTTTTCAAACTTAACCGGTTCCAGGAATCCATTCGACTCCCAAAACCGATCGAAAACCAAGGCGTGGCTTCCGATTGGCTGCACTACAAGCAAGAAGCCACGTCGGACGTTCGGCTTCTGAAAAACATTCGCAAACCAGAACACTCACGTCCGGGTTTGCGGCGTTTGGGAGCCGATTTGTTCAGGGACTAAGCTGTTTGAGAACCAAGGTACTACTGTATTTGGAAAAAAATATATCATGGTTATATGAAAACGTGTGTAGGATTTGAAGTATAGCAGCAGATGAGAGAATTGGTAGCTTAATCATTTAGAATTAATGCATCCAATGGGTAAAATGTAAGTCATATAGCAGCTTAATGAAGAAAGGAAAGAACTCCATGGAATGGAAGTCAAAGGATATGAGAGATTTTTTTTGAGGTTTAAAGGAATTTCCAAAAATTGAAAAGTTCATTTAATTTTTTTAACGAAATAATCAAATAATATCTTAAACAACTATTATATAATTATTACCAAATCATTATAACTAATTGCACAATTATGAAAATAGTTATATGATAATAATTATTATATGATAATAATGCTATACAATAAAACTTTTGCTGTTGTTACTGCTCTGCTTCTTAGTACTTCTGTGATTTTATGCCATTTTGATTTACTTCAACAAAGCATTTTCATCCAGAGAGAGAAAAAACCTCCAAATTCAGGGAGAAACAGGGGCAATTCTGCAACAGCCAAACACGCGGCTTGGCTCACTCGCTCGAGCCGCCTCAATACAGCCGGGAATGGCTCCGGCCGGTGTGCTCACCTGGGGTGAAGAGGGCGATGGCTTTGAGGCAGCTGTACTCCGCCAGGTCCACCTGCAGCCGGTTGAGCTTCTCCACCTGGTCCTGGAAGATGCGGATCTGGTCCATGAAGGAGACCACGCGGTCGGCCGACATGGGAGCCGCGTGGAAACCAGCGGCGGCCAGCAGGGGCGCCATGTGCAGCGGCAGAGCAGACTGTGCGGCGTTGAGGACGAAGAGCTCGCTCCAGCTGAGCCTCAGCAGCGCCACCTGGTCCGAGACGGGCAGGTCGGGGAAGAAGGGGATGTTTCGCGCCCACTCCACCGTGCTGAAGAGGAGCCGTGCCGCCAACTCGCAGATGTTATCGATGCCCATCACGCTGCCTTGCTGGGCGTACTGGGAGCTGAAGCGCGCGGTGGGGTAGGGCTCGGCGCGGAGGAGCTGGGAAATCAGCTCCGAGACGGGCTGCCCGTTGTAGTATTCGCCGCTGGGCAGGGCGTTGGGGCTGGCGCTGGAGTGAGTGGGAGGGATCCGGCCCCTCTGGACGGCTGAGGGAAGCAAGCAGAGAGAGCTGGTTAAGGCCAGAGTGGTGCATGCTCTGGTTATCTCCCGCCTGGACTACTGCAATGCGCTCTCCATGGGGCTACCTTGGAAGGTGACCCGGAAACTACAACTAATCTACCACTCTTTCAAATCAGAACCAGTGAAGGCGGTGAAGGTCCTGTGTGAGTGTCTGGAGGCGGTTGGAGGATGGATGGTGGCTAACAGATTGAGGTTGAATTCTGACAAAACAGAAGTACTGTTTTGGGGGGACAGGAGGAGGGCTCCTGCTCAGGTGCTTTGTTCCACCTAAGAGCATCCTTCCATACCCCCAAATGCTGTTTTGGGGGGACAGGGGGTGGGCTGGTGTGGAGGACTCCCTGGTCCTGAATGGGGCAACTGTGCCCCTGAAGGACCAGGTGCGCAGCCTGGGGGTCATTCTGGACTCACAGCTGTCCATGGAGGCGCAGGTCAATTTTGTGTCCAGGGCAGCTGTTTATCAGTTCCATCTGGTACACAGGATGAGACCCTCCCTGCCTGCACACTGTCTTGCCAGAGTGGTGCATGCTCTAGTTATCTCTTGCTTGGACTACTGCAATGCGCTCTATGTGGGGCTACCTTTGAAGGTGACTCGGAAACTACAACTAATCCAGAATGCGGCAGCCAGACTGGTGACTGGGAGCGGCCGCCGAGACCATATAACACCGGTCTTGAAAGACCTACATTGGCTCCCAGTACATTTCGAGCACAATTCAAAGTGTGGCTTCAGGGGCACAGTTGCCCCATTCAAAGCCCTAAATGGCCTCAGTCCAGTATACATGAAGGAGCGTCTCCACCCCCATCGTTCAGGATCTAGGGCAGCGGTTCTCAACCTGAGGGTCCCCAGATGTTGTTGGACTACAACTCCCATCATCCCTGAGCTCTGGCCTTGCTAACTAGGGGTGATGGGAGTTGTAGTCCAACAACATCTGGGGACCCACAGGTTGAGAAAGGCTGATCTAGGGGTCTTGGTGGGTCGGAAACTGAACATGAGCCAACAGGGTGATGCAGCAGCAGAAAAAGCGAATGCTATTCTAGACTGCATCAGCAGAAGCCTAGTGTCCAGATCAAGGGGGGAAATAGTCCCAATCTTTTCTGCCTTGGTCAGGCCACACCTGGAATCCTGTGTCCAATTCTGGGCGCCACAGATAAAGGAGGGTGTTGACAAGCTGTTTTCTGCAGCCGTCAGTGGGAAAAGGACAGTCGCGGAACCAAGAAATTACACAAAACAAATGAAATGCCATGAAAACCCCTGAAATGAGAAGTAATCAACTATAGAGTTAAATTAAATAACAAAAATCAAAAAGTTTAAGGAAAATATTATCCTAGAATTAAACAAAGACTTAACGAGATGCCGGCTACAAAACTCTGGGAAGTATTTCAGCCTTGCTCTTGAGTTTGTTTAAGGTTTATAATTTCTTTATTTCCTTCTGAGGAAACTGATTAGTTCAGTGAAACGAGTTTTGTAGCCGGCATCTCGTTAAGTCTTTCTTTAATTCTAGGTTAACTTTCTCCTTAAACTTTTTGATTTTTGCTATTTAATTTAACTTTATCGTCGATTACTTCTCGTTTCAGGGTCTTCTGCAGCAGCAGTAGCTACCCTTCCCACGAACCACAGAATCACAGCGTTGTAAAGTTGGAAGGGACCCTGAGGTCATCTTGCCCACCCCCTGCAAATGCCAGAATCTTTGGCTCAGCACGATTCTCTGGGCCAAAGGGAACTTTCTGGGGTCCGATCCAGCAAAGGCAGCGAAAGGTTCTCCAAATGCATCGCGGGGGGTTGGACTAGATGACCTGTGGGGGGCCCCTCCAACGCTGCAATTCTATAACTCTACAGTGGTGCCTCGCAAGACGAAATTAATTCGTTCCGTGAGTTTTGTCGTCTTGCGATTTTTTTCATCTTGCGAAGCACGGTGTCGGGAAAGTTTTGGAAAAGCTTCAAAAATCACCAAAGTCTTTAAAAACCTCAAAAAAGGCTACCACACCGCGTTCTCTGAGTTGCTCCTCGAAGTCAAGTCGCAACTGTATTAACGGTGTTAAGAAAAAGGAACCAAACTTGCAAGACGTTTCCGTCTCGCGAAGCAAGCCCATAGGGAAAATCGTCTTGCGAAGCAGCTCAAAAAACAAAAAACCCTTTCGTCTAGCGAGTTTTTTGTCTTGCGAGGCATTCGTCTTGCGAGGTACCACTGTATCCTGTTCCCAATTAAAGGAGGAGCTCGTAAGCAGCATCCGAGGGCAAGATCTCCCCGGAGACCTTAGAAACCCAAGGGGGTGGCAAGCGAGGGGCACAATCACGAGACCTGTGGAAACAGGGCCAAAAATCCAAACAAAGGAATAATTTGGTGCTCGCTGGCTCTCAAGATGGTATTTGGCTCTCCAGCTGTGACCTTTACTGCTACTGAGTCATATGACCTGCCAGCCTGCAGGCTCCTTTCCTCACCCGCCTGTAAAATCCTGCGCTCTCCAAACAAACACCACCGGTTTTACCGGTTTGACAGCGACCCGCTGGGCCCTCCGGCAGCCTTGAAGGCAAGCAGCTCACTCTGCCAAAGCCAGGGCCTCTTGACTCCGCACCAGGTCCCACGTTAACCTGCCTGCCCAGCCATCTCACGCCGCTAGTCCTCAGCTTCCCCTTTGCTCTGGGCTTGCCGATCAGAAGGTCGGCGGTTCGAATCCCCGCGACGGGGTGAGCTCCCGTTGCTCTGCCCCAGCTCCTGCCAACCTAGCAGTTCGAAAGCACGTCAAAGCGCAAGTAGATAAATAGGTAGCACTCCAGCGGGAAGGTAAACGGCGTTTCCGTGCGCTGCTCTGGTTCGCCAGGAGCGGCTTAGTCCTGCTGGCCACATGACCCGGAAGCTGTACACTGGCTCCCTCAGCCAATAAAGCGAGATGAGCGCCGCATCCCCAGAGTCGGTCACGAGTCGGGTCATGTGGCCAGCATGACTAAGCCGCTTCTGGAGAACCAGAGCAGCGCATGGAAACGCCGTTTACTTTCCCGCCAGAGCAGTACCTATTTATCTACTTGCACTTTGGCGTGCTTTCGAACTGCTAGGTGGGCAGGAGCTGGGACCGAGCAACGGGAGCTCACCCCATCGCGGGGATTCGAACCGCCAACCTGCTGATCGGCAAGTTCTAGGCTCTGTGGCTTAACCCACAGCGCCACCCGCGTCCCTCAAATGGCTGATAGTCAGGTGCAAAATGCGTTTGGCTCCTGGCTTATTTTGAACCCTGGTTCTGCTGCGTTCCAGCTGGCGCCAGGCACTTTGACCCAGGGTTATCTGTGCCAGTGTCGGACCTTTGACCCCTTTGCAATGCTGGCGTACGGCAGCTCCTAAGCATTGATTCTCTGACACAACTCTCTCTCAGTTTGGGGCCGTGTGTGGCTGGCAGACTTCACCAAAGTTCAGACCGTCTGCAAAGTTGAGTCCTGCCAGCTGAGTCCCCTTCTGCCATCCAGCGGGTACTGGGTGCCAGCCGCGCCAGCCGCTCGGCTTAACAAAAATTACAAAATACATTATGGTAGACAGAATGGTTGGAACTTAAAAAATTTATTTAAGGACAAAATGAAATTATACAATTGAATATAAATATAGATGGGAAACGGCTATGTATTGTGAGTACAGTGGTGTCCCGCAAGACGAATGCCTCGCAAGACGAAAAACTCGCTAGACGAAAGGGTTTTCCGTTTTTTGAGTCGTTCCGCAAGACGAATTTCCCTATGGGCTTACTTCGCAAGACGAAACGTCTTGCGAGTTCTTGCGAGTTTGTTTCCTTTTTCTTAAAGCCGCTAAGCCGTTAATAGCCGTGCTTCGCAAGACGAAAAAACTGCAAGATGAAGAGACTCGCGGAACGGATTAATTTCATCTTGCGAGGCACCACTGTACTTAAGGTAAAGGTACCCCTGCCCGTACGGGCCAGTCTTGACAGACTCTAGGGTTGTGCGCTCATCTCACTCAAGAGGCCGGGGGCCAGCGCTGTCCGGAGACACTTCCGGGTCACGTGGCCAGCGTGACATCGCTGCTTTGGCGAGCCAGAGCCGCACACGGAAACGCCGTTTACCTTCCCGCCAGTAAGCGGTCCCTATTTATCTACTTGCACCCGAAGGTGCTTTCGAACTGCTAGGTTGGCAGGCGCTGGGACCGAGCAACGGGAGAGCACCCCGCCGCAGGGATTCGAACCGCCGACCTTTCGATCGGCAAGCCCTAGGCGCTGAGGCTTTTACCCACAGCGCCACCCGCGTCCACCACTGTACTGATCTACTTTTAAAATTTTTCACTTATGATCTTTTTCTTTTACTTCTTTATTCTTTCTTTGTTCTTTTTTCTTTTTTCTGATATCTTATCTTTCATTTCACTGCTTTATTGTGAATAGCATTTTATAGAGGTATAAATAACTGTAAATATGAAAAGAGACAAAATATTCTCTAATTCTTTTTCCTTGGTTAGATATATTTTCTTTTTCTTTTGTATTTTCTTTTGTTGTGAATATGTATGTTTTCTAATTTGTAGTTAATAAAAATATTAATAAAAATTTAAAAAAAGATTTTTTTAAAAAAATGAACATCATATGTAGCTGCAGAGAGCCAGGAGACCTTTTACTCTACTCTAACATTTTCGTTTTTTCCTTCTTTTCCTTTTCTCTTGCTTTCTCCTTGGGGTCCAGCAGCTGCCTCTCAAACTAACCTACCTCACAGCGTTGTTGTATGGATAAAAATGGAGAGGAGAAGATAAAAAATCCCGAAGCTTATCTGTTAGGGTTGATGGGCACAGACATACCACGTATGAAAAAAACCAATCTTTTTATATGCAACAACAGCTGCCAGGGTAGCAATTGCCACTAAATGGAAATCTCAGGACAAACCAACAAAGGAAGAGTGGATTTGTAAATTGAGTATATAGAATTGGCAAAATTAACTTCAATTATAAGATATCAATCAAATCAAAAGTTAAGAATGGAGTGGAAGTACCGTATTTTTCGCCCTATAGGACGCACTTTTTCCCCTCCAAAAATGAAGGGGAAATGTATGCGCGTCCTATGGGGCGAATGCAGGCTTTCGCTGAAGCACCGACCCCTCTTGCTCTCCAGGCTTCAGGAAGCTATCCGCAAGCCTTGCGCGTCCGGTGGGAGTTCCCACGGGCTCACAAGGCTTGCGGGCGGCAGCCTGCAGCCCGAAGCACAGGCGCCCTCCGGAGGATGCCCCGTGCTTTGGGCAGGTGTCTGCAAGCCTCGCGCGCCCGGCGGGAGGTCCCACCGGGTGTGCGAGGCTTGGGACGGCAGCCTGTTCTGTGGGCTGGGGTCGGGGGAAGCTCGGGCTTCCCCCGCCCCAGCCCCGCGGCTGGGGGGGGGAATAATTTTTTTTATTCATTCCCCCCCACCAAAAAAAAACGAGGTGCGTCCTATGGGCCAGTGCGCCTTATAGGGCGAAAAATACGGTATTTCGAAGATTGTATGTCAAAATATTGTTCTAAAAATGACACGCTAATAGGCTTAGAATAAAAAGTGTAAGCAATAACAAAACCAATAAAGAAAGAAGGAAAAATCAGAACGTAACAAGAATAATTTATCATAGAATGCAAGGGGAAAAGGTAGAAAGAAATATAAAGAAGTCGAATTGCTGTGGAGGGGAGGGTGGATGGTGGGTTTTATAATTAAGTAGCTGATTTAATCTAGGTACTGTGGTACCTCGGGTTACATACGCTTCAGGTTACAGACTCCGCTAACCCAGGAATAGTGCTTCAGGTTAAGAACTTTGCTTCAGGATGAGAACAGAAATCGTGTGGCGGCAGCAGGAGGCACCATTAGCTAAAGTGGTGCTTCAGGTTAAGAACAGTTTCAGGTTAAGTACGGACCTCCGGAACGAATTACATACTTAACCCGAGGTGATTCCCTCACTGGGAATTTTGGTTATTACGCATCTATGTTACGTTTCAATAAAGATCTTGGGGGGGGATGGAGAGGAGGGGAGGAAAGATGGGATGCACAAACATGAGGATGAAAATAAACCCCAAAATAAGTGATACATCTGATGACATGAGTTGTGTGATGCAGCAGGAAATAAATTCAGCAACTTTCAAGGTCCTGCAAGGGACCTCGGTTAACAGACATATGCGTCGTCCTCTTTGGAGTTTGTATCTCTCCAAATATCACACACACACACACACACACACACACCCCAGAGCTGGAGAGTACCTTCTTTCCTCATCCCGACGCGGAAACACTTTTTCAGACGGCAATACTGGCATTGATTGCGGTGGTGCTGGTCGATCTGGCAGTCGCGGTTCGACCTAGGTTAAAACAAAAATCATGAGATAAGCTGCCTCCTTCCTCCTGTTTACACACATGGTCTCTTTAAGGAAATGCACATATTGTTAAAAAATAAAAATAAAAGTAAGATAAACCTCTCCGTAAGCCACCCAGTGCTAGAAATTCCCCAGGCGCATTTTGCAACCGTTAACAAAGCAGCAGCCACAAAAAAATAAGCTAGGCACTACAATTCAAGCAAAAGTCGTGTTATATGATTGACGCATCAATGCAGCATTTATAATCTATGAAACGACATTAGCAACGTTAGCCAAATAGCCACAGAAAAATAAACTGTGTGGAAGTGGTTCAGGGTTTCGGACTTGGGGAATCTCTCCTATTACTACCTTGGAACAGTGTTAGAAATTAGGCAGGTGCCAGGCGCGTTTTGCAACTGCCGCGGGTCCCATTGCAACCACATGGTGCCCAGCGACTGACATCTCCACCTGACTGCCCCCTCCAGCTTTCTTAAGCAGATAAACAGAAGAGCTGATTTATTGCATTTATCTCCCACCTTTTTCTCCAAGGACTACACGGTTCACACCCCACCCCCCCCGGTTAATGCCTACAACGCCCCTGAGAGGCTGGGACTGATTCGCAAGGTCATGCAGTGAGCTCCATTACTGAGTGGGGATTTGAACTCTGGAACCCTGGTCTCCCGGGTCCTAGTCTGCCATTCTCACCACTACGCCACCCTGGCTTCCTAGAGAACGTCTGCTAGTGGGAGGCTCTATATATTAAGCAGGTAGGTAGGTAAGTAAGTAAGTAAGGGACGCAGGTGGTGTTGTGGGTTAAACCACAGAGCCTAGGCTTGCCTATCAGAAGGTCAGTGGTTCGAATCCCCGCAATTATGGGGTGAGCTCCCGTTGCTCGGTCCCTGTTCCTGGCAACCTAGCAGTTCAAAAGCACGTCAAAGTGCAAGTAGATAAATAGGTACCGCTCCGGCGGGAAGGTAAACGGCGTTTCCGTGCGCTGCTCTGGTTCGCCAGAAGCGGCTTAGTCCTGCTGGCCACATGACCCGGAAGCTGTACGCCGGCTCCCTCGGCCAATAAAGCAAGATGAGTGCCGCAACCCCAGAGTCGGCCACGACTGGACCTAATGGTCAGGGGTCCCTTCACCTTACCTTTTAGGTAAGTAAATAAGTAAGTAAATGGGAATCAATATGTCACTTAGAGAAGAATCAGAAATATTTCCCCAGAAGCCTGAATTTGTTTTATTCTAGATTGTTTGATTGGATATAGATAGATAGATAATTTATTACGGTCGAAGAGCAGCTTATAAAACACACTTGGGGGTACAATCCAAGAGGGAAAGCAAACATTTAGAACAATGTACAACAATAAATTTAAAATTTATAAATGTGATAAACGTATAGACACTTAAAACTTTAAGATAAGCTCCTGCGGAGAGATGACCCAGAGTCACTCATGGAACCGAGTTTGGGGATTTTCTTAACGAACTAGTTTGGGTCTGGGGATGGTCTCCGCCTACAGATCTGTACACAGAATCTGGCGACCATCCGGGTCGTCTTATGATCTTTGCCTAACAGGAAAAGGTCAATTTTTTGCTTTTCTGGGAGGTCAGCGAGCCTCACCAGCAGGGGACCAATGGTCTCACTACTACGTGCCTCTTCCTAAAAGGGACATCTAAAGAACAAGTGCTCTGGGCTTCCTAGCTCCCCCAATGAACAGGCGCAAAGTCTCTGAGCATAGGGGACTTTTTTAAAGAATCCGGCGAGGGCAGAGCCGAGCTTCCGGCGAGTGTAAAAGCCCTTCTTGCATTTTTGGATATGAGAAAGAAGAGATATGCTGCCGGTGTGGCTATATCTCTCTCGATTTCTCCAATTTTATAGTCAGGGCACCTTGAGCAGTCCTGTTGTCTCTCGGTGTCTATGTTGATTGGATATTGTAATGTGTTATAAACAACTTTGAGGGGTTTTTTTTCCTTTAAAATATAAACTGGTATAGAAATCATCATCATCACTTTGCACTTGGGCAAAAAAAATGAGAGGCACAAATACAAGATGGGGGACACCTGGCTTGAGAGCAGTACATGTGAAAAGGATCCAGGAGTCTTGGTTGACCACAAACTTGACATGAGCCAACAGTGTGACGCGGCAGCTAAAAAAGCCAATGCGATCCTGGGCTGCATCAATAGGAGTATAGCATCTAGATCAAGGGAAGTAATAGTGCCACTGTATTCTGCTTTGGTCAGACCTCACCTGGAGTACTGTGTCCAGTTCTGGGCACCACAGTTCAAGAAGGACACTGACCAACTGGAACGTGTCCAGAGGAGGGCAACCAAAATGGTCAAAGGCCTGGAAACGATGCCTTATGAGGAACGGCTAAGGGAGCTGGGCATGTTTAGCCTGGAGAAGAGGAGGTTAAGGGGTGATATGATAGCCATGTTCAAATATATAAAAGGATGTCATATAGAGGAGGGAGAAAGGTTGTTTTCTGCTGCTCCAGAGAAGCGGACACGGAGCAATGGATCCAAACTACAAGAAAGAAGATTCCACCTAAACATTAGGAAGAACTTCCTGACAGTAAGAGCTGTTTGACAGTGGAATTTGCTGCCAAGGAGTGTGGTGGAGTCTCCTTCTTTGGAGGTCTTTAAGCAGAGGCTTGACAGCCATATGTCAGGAGTGCTCTGATGGTGTTTCCTGCTTGGCAGGGGGTTGGACTCGATGGCCCTTGTGGTCTCTTCCAACTCTAGGATTCTAGGATTCTATGATCATCGTCCCATTTTCTATTGTGGCAACTATAACCTGGGTTTAAGGTGCCATTTGGCGATTGGCTTATATATCCTAGTTTCTAACCACGGGGAGAAGAGAATTCTGGACTCCGCATAGGTTGTGATGAACCTCTTCCAATTCCTGCCCATCCCATTTGGACACTTGCCTTCTGTACTAGCAGAGAATTGAAACCCTCTCGCTTCTCCAAATGCACACAGACCATTTCTCTCTTTGGGGCCCTTCAGGTCAATGCGCATGAGCAGGCAAAGGAGTCAGGAATCCCAAAAATTCCCTCCTCCCCGAACAAGGGCTCTGAGGAGAGGGTTGCCAGGGCAGGAGGGATAAAGCAGGCAGGCAGGCGGGACTGCCTCAGTATCTCCGGAAAGACGTTTTATGCTGCATCACAACGCTGGTCCATTGAAGCTCAAGACTGCCTGCACTGACTGGCAGCGACTCTCCAAGGCAGGGGTCAGCAACCTTTTTCAGCCGTGGGCCGTCCACAGTCCCTCAGACCATGTGGTGGGCCGGAATATACAGTCATACCTCTTGTTACGTTTGGTTCAAGTTATGTCTTTTCAGGTTGAGTCCCGCGGCCATGTAGAAGTACCAGAAAGGGTTACTTCCAGGTTTCGCCGCTCGCGCATGCGCAGACACGCAAAATGACGTCACACGCATGTGCAGAAGTGACAAATCGCGACCCGCACATGCGTAGACGGGCAGGCGCGGGTTGTGTTCCTCTCAGGTTGCAAATGGGGCTCCAGAACGGATCCCGTTCGCAACCAGAGGTACAACTGTATTTTGAAAAAAAATAATGAACTAATTCCTATGCCCCACAAATAACTCAGAGATGCATTTTAAATAAAAGGACACATTTCATTCATGTAAAAACATGCTGATTCCTGGACCGTCCGAAGGCCGGATTTAGAAGGCGATTGGGCTGTATCCGGCCCCCGGGCCTTAGGTTGCCTACCCATGGTATATATAATGAAGGTACCAGGCGAACCTCCCTGGAGAGAGCATTCCACAGATGGGGAGCCACTGCACAAAAGGCCCTGTGATCATGTTGCCGCTCTCTGGACCTTTTGTGGAGGAGCCACACATTACAGCGGTTGGGCTAGATGCTCCCACCCAGCTGTGCAATTCTGTGATTCTGCAAAATGAGCACAGCAAAGGCTTTGCGGGGAAGGTTTCAGGACCCTGGGCCCAGCATTGGGGACATGCCATTGGGGTCTGAGCCCTTAAGCTATGATCCTTTCATTTAGAAATGAAGCAGGGATCTAGTCCTCATGATTTAAAACTGGTACACATGAACGTGGGCAGAGGAGGGTGGCCAACAACTTCCTGACACTGAGAGCTGTTCAGCTGGGGAAGGGTCTCCCTCGGGATGCTGTGGACTCTCCTCCCTTGGAGGCTTTTAAGCAGAGGTTGGGTGGCCATCTGCCAAGGATGCTTTAGCAGAGATTTCTGCATTGCAGGGGGTTGGTCTGGATGACCCTCAGGGGCCCCTTCCAACTCTACTATTCTATAGTCTCTTCCAGCTCTATAATTCTGCACTGAGTGGCAGGAGATGCTCTCCAGGGTTTCAGCCAGGGTCTTCCCCAGCCGTACCTGGAGACATCAGAGAGTGAATGTGGGACTTTCTGAATGCCAATAATAATAATACTGTGGTACCTCGGGTTAAGTACTTAATTCATTCCGGAGGTCCGTTCTTAACCTGAAACTGTTCTTAACCTGAAGCACCACTTTAGCTAATGGGGCCTCCCGCTGCTGCTGCGCAATTTCTGTTCTCATCCTGAAGCAAAGTTCTTAACCCAAGGTACTTTTTCTGCGTTAGCGGAGTCTGTAAGCTGAAGCATATGTAACCTGAAGCATATGTAACCCGAGGTACCACTGTAATAATAAATTTTTATTTATACCCCGCCCTTCCCGGTTCAGAAAACCGGGCTCAGGGTGGCAACCAACAAATTTAAAACACTTAATTGATGCAACGAAAAACAGCATAAAATACGGTATAAAACGTGAATAACGGTAAATTCAGAATTCAAAAATCAATTTAGGGGGGAAATCCATCCAATAAACATTAGATGATCACCAGGGCTAGCTGGCTAAATTAGTCCTATTTGGGCCAGCGAGGAGATCAGGGGAGAATTAGCTGTGGGATCCCAGAGCGGGCAGTCTTCATAAAAAGGGGAGGGGGAGGGAAGGAAGGGGAATAAAAGATCTGGCTAAGTTCAAGTTGAAAGCCAGGCG